CCTATTTCATTTCTTTTTGTTTGTTTGGGTGGATTTGTTCCAAACACATTCATGGCGGGAAACACATATTTGGCTTGATTAAGCTAACACGGCATGCATGCCTCTGGTCTAGACAGTAGCTGTGGATATAATTATCTTAGCATGTTTGTAGTGACTGACTCCTTCATAGTGTTTCAACACTGCTATTGTAATTAATTAATGGTCTGGATTTGACATAAAAGATCTTTGTTCAGACTGATGAAGGGTTGAAAGATGCCGCCTACTATTTATATTATATTATATATATATTTTTTGTTAGTTTTTTAAAATTGGATGGTTGCAAATGAAAAGAGACTTTTTTTTTCATAAAACATCTGGCTTGATTAGATAAAAACCTTCAAATTATGTAACATTTTATTTACAAAAAAAGACTTTTGTAAAATTGATAATGTAGTTCCATGTTTACATACTAAGTTGTCATGGAGCAGCTGATATACATAATCTACCTGTCAAAAGTTTGGGGTCAGATTTTATTTATTTTTTTTTAAGAAATGAATACTGTACTGTACTTTACTCAATTGATCAAAAGTGACAGTAAAGACATTTATAATGTTACAAATGATTGATGATAAATGCTGTTCTTTTGAACTTTCTATTCATCAAAAAATCTCTGAAGGATCATGTGACACTGAAGATTAGTAATAGATGCTGAAAATTCAGCTTTGCCATAACAGGAATACACTACATTAAAATATATTCAAATAGAAAACAGTCATTTTAAATTGTAATAATATTTTATATTATTCATGTTTTTACTTTTTTTTTTTTTTTTTATCAAATAAATGCAGGCTTGGTGAATATAAAAGGCTTCTTTCAAAAACATCAACTCCAAACTTTTGAACAGTAGTGATTGCACATCAGACGAATTCTATTTGAATTGTTCTATATTAATTCTATATAAATAATTCTATATTAATTAGTTGTGAGCTTTGACTAAGTAAAGTCAGCTTTTCCTTGTCTGGAAAAAAATCTTCCTTGTCTGGACACTTCGTTTTGTAGTTTCTCATTATTCAATGATTTTTCTTGGTTTTCTAATATGAAACCAAACTGATTACAAGTAACTGTTGTTCCTGTTTTTCTTCCCGCTCATTTCATACCTTTTTTAAGTCAAGAAACAGGGTCAGACTGGCATCATCTCCTGTATTGCCTTCAGTTCGTGCCAGTCCATGTACGCCTGTGGGTCTTACTCCCGTTCGGCTCCTGTGAGAACGGTTCTCTGCTGGCTCTGCTGCCCACTCGACACCGCGGAGGCCTTACACACCTGCTGTTCTCACCCAATGGCTATCACCTGTACACGGGCGGCCGCAAGGTCAGTGGGCTCATATGTGCTGTACTTCTGTCCCTCACAGGTATATATGGCCAAATTCAGTATGACAGATACATCCACCAATCAGAAGTGCTGTTATTTGGTTGCATGTTTTGAATTGTCCAGCTAATGTTATGTGTCACTGCTTTCAGGATTCAGAGATCCTGTGCTGGGACCTTAGAGATCCGGGACAAGTTCTGTTCTCCATGCACAGGAACGTCAATACAAACCAGCGTATCTACTTTGACCTGGACCAGTAAGATAAAGATATACCAGTTTACTTATTAGATCCATTTATGCTTTGCTGATGTTGATATTTGTGTGTCTGAAATAGATCTGGGCGATATCTACTGAGTGGGGACACAGATGGTGTGGTGTCAGTGTGGGACACCCTCACAGCGCCACCTGATGGGAACGAGGAGCCACTACAACCTCTGCTGCAGTTTCAGGCGCACACTGATTGTACTAATGGCATCAGGTATAATTAACAGAATTTAAATAACATATATAAAATGTATGAAATTAAAAACTTAGTGATATATAAAATGTAAAGTTCATAAACTCTTTAAAAATCATAGCTTTTATGGATAATCACTTCACCTTTTTATTGTGGCTCTGTAATTCATTTTCCTAATTTTAGGAGTACTGAAAGGTTAAGTTTGCAGCAGAATTTCTCTATTTTGGGTTTGTCCCTTACCCCTTACCCAGCCTTTAGTCTTCTCTGAAGTACATTTATTAAAATTAGAGATATTATAATTTGTACTTTTTACTAAGAACTTAAAAAGCATATTTTCAATTCATGTGGTATTTATGCACTACCGTTGAAAAAAAGGTCAGTAAGGTTTTTAAACATTTTTGAAAGAAGTCTCTTACGCTCACAGAGGCTGCATTAATTTTGCGAAATATTATTACAGTTTAAAAATAACTGTTTTCCATTACTCCAAGATCCTTTAGAAATTGTAATATGCTTATCTGAAGCTCAAAAAATTATTATTATTACTGTTGAAAACAGTAGTGCTGCTTAATATTTTGTTATTTTTTTTAAGAATAGAAAGTTACAAATGAAGAGCATTTGTTTGAAATCTTTTTTTGTAGCAATGTAAACGTCTTTTCGGACACTTGCGATCAATTTGACAGCATCGCATCTTTAACACAACTGTGAAAACGTAAGCATCTGCTAAATAATTAAATGCAATTGAGTAAATATTGCTAATTTTACCTATCCCCTTTTTTCTTACTCCCTCATCTCTACAGCGTGCACCCTTTCATGCCATTGGTGGCTTCGTCCAGTGGTCAGCGTAAGTTCTGTTGGCCGTCTGACAGCGAGGACTCTGAGTCTGATTCAGTTGAGGGGAATGTGATGTCATCAAACGGCGTTCGACAGGACAACGCTCTGGTGCTGTGGTGGGCCGGCCCATTGGGCTCAACCAATGAGAGAGGCCAGGAGGAGGAGCCAGCAGTTATTGAGAGCTTGATCTTTCGATTGTAAAACTGCACTCCTGACGACCCATAATCTACTGCCAAACCTATAATGATTGTTTAGTTGAAGAGTGGTAAGATTGTAATTCTGCATCAGTTTTAATTGTAGAATAGTCCCTTTTTAAAATCCTCCAGGCTTTTTGTTCTTTGCATGTTGCTGGGTTTGTAAACCTCAATCAATGAATGTGTAAAAGTCAAGACCGAAATCCTCCAAAATCCATTGAATTTAAACCGGTTCTGACAGCAAATTATGATTCAGATCACCTGGGACACTGATCTGAAATATGAATAATTCATTCATAGATTTCATTTTGTTTGGACGGGTACCTAAATTGATGTTTACGTTGTTTACCAGCAGTGCTTTCAGGATGCCCTGTCGTCGCTGGAGTGTGATGCCTCTCAGGTTTCCGATGCAGCAGTGCAGCCTTTCTGATTTGCATTGGGTTTGTTTTCCTTTCACCATGTAAAGCCGGTTTTCAGGAAACACATTGAGCCTTGTCTGGGACTTACTTTAAGGACTGTCAGTGAACGCAGAAGAGTTATTTCAGGAGCAGGTTTAATCCCTGTATGTGATGATTTTGACTATGGGAAGGCCGTGTGTGATGGACTGAGACAGTTCATCTTATGTTAAATGTGCCATAGAGCTACAGTGGGCAGCTGTGAATATATTTTTGTAAGCCAGTAATCTGCTTCATTGTGTGTGAATGTGGTTGTTTTCCTGCCTCTCAGTGGGCCTCGTTGCTTTAGCTGAGGCTGTGCATTCCCTTTTATAATAACCTGTGTTTGTTTGTTTGTGTATGTGTTGGAGAGAGAGAGCCTTTGCATATTCTAATGTTAGCTGTCATCTTGACACAATGGTGTGCGTTTTTACAAATGTACGCTTTTTACAGCTTTACCTTGTGTGTGTGTTTGTGCCTGTAATTTACTCTTTAAAGCAGTGGGTTTGAATGTTTCAGGCTTGCCAAACATGCTGTAGTCAGAGTGCTGAATATCTTATTACATTCACTGCTGAAAGCATCAGTTGTTTGTACAAATGCGTAATACAAACCTTTTTTGTACAGTTTCTCTGGATTGTAAGCCAAATCATTCAGGTCTGCTTGTGGTTTCTTCTACTCAGAGGAACCATTTGCAACAGGTAGATCACTGTGGCTGAAAAGATTAATAAACATGTTTACATAAAAAATGTCACAGTGTTTCTGACATTTATTGGTTTTTAAAGGAAGTAGTAATCACTATTACTATTGCTCAGGCTTAGGTGTGTAACTTCCTGTATTTGTGCTGTGTACATTCATGATATCGTGCAGATTTTCAAAGTAGTCATGGGCCTGATTCACAGAAGTCTTCTTAAAGGGGTCATAGGATGCCCATTTTCCACAAATTGATATGATTCTTTAGAGTCTTTATGAAAAGTCTGTAACATAGTTTGGTTAAAATTTCTCAATGGTAGTGTAAAAAACACCTTTTTTACCCTGTACTTGTAAAAGTGCATGTCACATCCGATGACCCCTTTAAGAAAAAATGTGAGAAAGTTCTTAACATAAATTCTAAGAAATTTGTAAGGATGTTCCTAAGTGCATTTTTTTTTTCAAGCTTTTTGCAAGTATTTTCTTGAGAGCAACATATTTTTTCACAGCATTGTATTACAAATTCAGTACAAATCTTAATGAAGTTAATTTTCTTTATTTTTTCAATGTTTGTGTGAAGAACATTTTTAAAAATTGAAAGATTAAAAAGTTTTTTAAATCTAATATATACATATATACTGTATATATGTCTAAGAAAAAGTCTGACTTGGTGGATGTTCTGTTGGACAAATCTTTGAAACATACCAGATGTTTCTGGTATGGCCATTGATAAGTTATTTACAGCTGAAATGAATTTGTTTAATAATGGATGGATTTTGCAGCATTGACAGTTTTTTTAACTGAACTGAACTGAATCAACACTAAACTGACTTGCGCTCAATAATGACACTGTTGTCTGCTTTACAGCAGAATTTGTTTAATTTTTAAAGAAGTTTGTCATTGTTGTTTTGCTGTTTATTACTGTGAAGCTGCTTTGAAACTGTATTGTATTAAGCATAAATGTGACTTGACTTGTACGTGGGTGCAAATGACAGGCAGTTGTTGAGTGTAATAAGGTTCTTTGCTGTTTGTGTGGGCGAAAAGAGAGAATGATGAGGTCTTGGCAAAGTTTGTTCTTCAAAGGAATGAACAGCATTTTTTTGATAAATTCAGCTTCACATGATGGGCATTCATCCAGGCATAAATACCAGATATGCAGTGATTCATGAGGATGCCTGGTTGTTAGAGGTGAGGATAACTGGTTTGGTGTAAAGGGAGAATGAAAGTGGTCTAAGTACTGAGCCCTGTGGCACTCCAGTGGGCATTTGCCGTAGGGACAGCTAGCATCATGGCAGCAACTTTTGCATGGGCATGCAACAGTTATATTGTTTTTAGAAAATGTAAAAATTTAATTATATTTTAATTTATTATTATTGAAAATAATGTTTCTTTTAATGTACGTTTTAGCTTTTCGATTTATTTTTTATTTAATTTATTGTTCCAGAATATTTCTGTTACATCTCGTATGTTTTGGATTCAGCTTCCATTTTGGGCATTATATTCCATTTTGGGCTCTTCATATTGCACAAAATGTGACCCACAAATGAGCATGAACCCTGAAGCAAAACATCTCAAATGACTAGCGCAGTGGGAGGCTGCTCATAAAACACTTCCACACAATCAAACACACATACACACACACACTGGCAGGCATCTTGTCTCAAATCTCTTGGATCAAATCATTCTTGAATGCTAAGCAGCACAGTCTGTTGTTTTGTTGTCCATGTTGCTAAGCGACCATCAGCAAGTCAAAGGCTGAAAGAAAAAAACAAATCCCGAAAGAGAACGAGACGTGGTAGAGGGCAGGAAATTGCAAGTTTTTAAGAGCCAATCTCTGGTGCTTCTGTGTGGACCAAGGGTGCAGTGTTTGTGAAGACGAAATGTGGGACACAAGGTCTCTCGAGAAGATGGTGAACAGGACAACTCTAAGCACACAGAGAGTGCTCCACACACACATTCTGGGTGAGTGAAGCCTTAATACTACACAAACATATGGTCTCTTCAAGCCTTCATTAGAATGTACCAGGTCACATCTAGGTTCTCCTCCAGTAGTATAATCTATAGTATCAGTAGTACAATTTTTTCCGAAGGACAGCACAGAACATTCTCTGCCTTGGACAACCATAGCAAAACACAGAGCAATCAGCGCCATCAACCTCCCCACGTCCAGCCTAATGACTCTGGCATTTACTACCGCAGTGTCTGCTACTGGACTTTTGTCTAATAAATATCGAAAGAGATGTCAAAAATTATACTTGAGTTCATGCACAAGAAGAAAGATTATGTATTTGAGAGAAACAAAAAATATATACTCACCCAAGGAAAGTCTACTTGCTTAGAAGTTGCTCTTTCAGAACTCGAAAAGATATTTCGCTCAAAGTCTTAAACTTCCCTCAACTTGCATGACTTTGTTGTTCAAAAGCAAAAAAGCACTTGACCCCACTGATTTTGTGTGGATGAAAAAAAAAAAGTTTTCATAGATGTGTTCTTTAATATTCCACAGAAGAAAGGTTTGGAACGACATTACATTATTTTTATTCCTGGGTGAACTATCCCTATAAAGTTTTTGGTTATGTTTCATTAATGTATTAATTATGTCTGATGCTTCTCCTGAAATTACTTAAAATAAATAAAAAGTTGCCACAAATATGACAGTTGGCATTACGTGTATATAACTATAAATGAATGTGGACAAAAATCCTTACATACTTTAGTCTTGGAAGAATTTGATGAGAAATATTTCGAAAGATCTTGTTACATTGCTGCCTTTGGTATCTTGGCAAATCTGAGCACAGTTTGAAAGTTTTGTTTTCTGAAACTCTAGAAGGAGACATGTGGGTCTTTTTCCACAGGAGGGACATGTGGAAAGACTTAAACCAAAGTTTTCATTTGCTCTCCATTAAATCTTGTCAGTGTCCAGGATAAACGAGTGAGATATTAGAGATAACATTTATGGTTTTTCTTTCCTATGTGCATCTGATGCATAAGATCTTTCATCTATAACATATATTATTTAACAGCCATATATATTTTTTAAGATTACGATCAGTTGCCACCTGTTTCAACCATTGATTTTCATGCTTGAGCCATGTCTTCTTTCAGAACTAGGAGAACAGTTATGTCCATGGTCATCTCCCAATGCTAGAACAGATGACCACCTAAAATTGGCCACAAACCCGGTCAATTTACGGCCTGCGATTGGACGGGAGCAGCCTGACGCCCCCACCATGGAGGAATTTAACCAGTTGGCAGAGAAGGAGAAACGCGCTGCCCTTAGACTCCAAGAGGAGGTGAATATTTGTAATCCTCAAGTGAACCATGTCAAAAAAGTAATTAATACAGATATTAGACTCTAACACTCTGTCTCCTGGAATTCAAAAAGTCATATTTCAGTCTCCAGGGGAGCAGTCCAGAGAGATTTTATTAGGACTTGATTAAAACTTTCTGATAAAAAAAGAGTCAGCTTCTAATTCAACTTCTTTTCCCCTGTCTTAGCAGCAGCAGCATAATCCTCAACTTCCCTCCTCGTTGCATCCGACTGTCAGATTTAATGAATGATCCGGTTGCTACTCCAACGCCAGTAGCAGTCAAAGCTTTGCCATTGTGTCAGAGAAATGAGAAGAGCTTTTGTAATAGGGTGTAATTGCTTGTGTAATTGCTCTCCAGGGAAAGCAAGCAGCAGCCAAACTCAGAGATGACTCTTCTCTTCAAAAGCCCAGTACAGTTGCCCTGCCAACACTGATCATCCATCCTTTTCTTTCTCTCCCTCCCTAACGCCCGCTGTCTCCTTGAGTTCTCTCTACCTCTCCATCTCCCACTTTCCGGTTTCATCCCAATATCTTCATCATCTGTTCATCTCTCCCTTTTTCAATTCATCCTTCTCTGTCCTCCCCATTCGCTTTTATCCCTCTTCCTCTGTTTTCTTGCTGTTCTGCTCTGTCTTTATTTATTCTCCATCACTTCTTCCCCAGAGTCTGCAGGCCAGTTTTCAAGAGGCCCTGCGAGCAAGGGACAGGCTGGAGGCTGAAATGAGGCGAGAACTCCAGGTCGAGCTGCAGGCCCAGTTCAGAGCTCATTGTGAAGACCTGAGGGCTCAGATGGAGGAAGAGAAGGTCCAGGCCGTAGGGGAGGCCTGCAGGAAGCTGCAAGGACAGCTGCACAAAGAAGCAGAGGAGACCAGAGACAAAATAATACACACTGTACGAGAAGAGACACAGGTGTGTGCGTCTGTGGTCTTGTTTGTCGTTATCATTATTATTGAACGTTTGCTTCCCACAATAGTTAAATCAGATAAACCTACATTGGGATGACCTACCTTAAGGCCAGATTCATAAAGGCATACTATAGTGGCAAAGAAAGCCAACTGTGTTGTCGCTTCACGTCTCCTGTGTCTGGGACAAATAGTTGTGCTTGAACACATTGCAAAGACTACAGCCAACAACGAACTGGCACTTACGATTTGTGCCTTCATGAGGAAATAACTGCCTATAGCAGCAGGTGGCAGTAGTCTATATTTGTCATTTAAAAAGGGAACAGAATACAAAAGACAACCAGCACAATGCTGAAAAGGGACGGAGTTCCATAAGGTCTATCCACATTTTTCTTACGCCCCATGACACTTTGCGCAAATTATGGCAGTAACTTCCATTTAAACTAAACAATCGGCAAAAGGTTCCCTCTATGAACACAATAATAAGCATGATCGAAAACTGGGTACAATGAGGTGACATTATTTTACTCGCCCTTTAACCATCGATCATTAAAAGGACATTTAAAAGTGTAAAAGCATTAACAAATTACTTTCAACATACCATGAATAACTCCCAAAGATCCTCCTTCTATCCGCAGCAATATAAACCTGGAAAGACATGAGGATTTGGGGAGAAAAATGAAATATTCGTAGTGCATTCCAGGGAATTATTCATGGTTTATATCATAAATTAAGTTTGGAGAGCAGACCACAAATTTATAGTGTGTGTTGTCTTTTTTTCTTTTACTTACAATGGAATACAAAGGAAACATGAAAATAATCAAGAGGAAAATAATGCAGCAGGCTGAAAATAGCTATTATAGATATCGTTGTTACCCTATATCATGTCACATTTATATACCAAATGTAAAGTTATTATCCTAACTTCCCAAAAAATAGAAAATTTATAAAAATGTACAGCCAATTCGGTCAAAATGCCGGATAAGGATTAGTGCATACTAATGATTTGAAATGATTTGTTGCAGTCTTTTTGAGTGGAAGTTCCCCAAACCGGAAGTGCCTCCCATAATTTAAAACGCAGTAGCCTAATCAACCTATCAGAGTGATCTCTCTCTCTCCAGCTGTCCAACCATGATTCACCATGTTCAGTCAGCCTAAAAACACTAGCAACCACTCAGAACCCTGGCATGATTGAGTTGCACATCATGGGCCACTTTTTCAGACAATGTAAAAATGTATGATAGGCCTAATGTATAATTATAGAATACAGAAATAATTTTTACAAGGTACAAGTCAATTTATTTAGCAATAATGACTGGCCGCTGATATTGTATGGTAATGTGGCTACCATACGAATAAATAAATAGGCGGATGTTCTTCAACAATCTGTTTCACAACACAATGAACACTGTAACAGTAATGTATCAATATTAAAATTAAATTTGGCTGTGGTAAGATGGTGCCAGTTGCTTTTAAATAAAACGAGAGAGCGACGATGGTATCCTTTATTTTCAGTGGGAAATTGGCGGAAAGCGGCAAAAACACCCAAAATCTTGCTGCTTTCGCAAGAATGTACGTCGAACTGATCATTAATCAAAGAACATTTCACTAAGCTAATATCGTAGGGCTGAAAATTGAGGAGGCAATCCTTTTTCATTTCGTTGAGTTTTCAGAATTGTATGCCCCCTCAAAAATCACATACAGACATTTATGGAAAATCAGAGCATGCATGACTTAGGTTGCCAGGTAAAACCAGTGTACAATATTAACTAAATTATGTGTGACATGGTAAACTATACTAGTCACACACCATACACAATAAAGAAGCATATTTTATTTAATTCCCGGGTCAATATCACCATAGAGTGCCTTTCAACCCTCACAATACTCAAAAATGTTGGTTTTAATTAATTTCCCATTCACTTTATATCATGTCATAAACAGTACACACTCAAGTACTAGGGCTGGGCAAAAAAATTATAATCGATTTTTCGATTAATCGTTTTTTAAAATGACTGTCGATTCGATATCGATTCTCAAAAGCCACGAATCGATCTTTTCCGGGATTTATTTCAGCACACATTTAAAACAAGATCTGATTAACGTGAATCTTATCACGTTAGTCATTAGTCTTCTCCACTAAATGTCACCCTTATTCACCTTGCGCAATGTTACAACAGAAAGCCTGTCATTCATTCAGAGCTTATCATGGCCATACGCGATTCGCAATGTTCAGGTGAAATGCTATAGTAATACTATAAATCTGCGAAAGCATCTGATATCACGCATAAGGCGCCATGATTTCCGCAATGAATGAATGGCGCGGCGCACTGTTTTGTTTACTACACACATACTAAAGCGCGGGTGACGCTCGCGGTGTTTTCAGCTTCTGCCGTCTCACTATATGATGATATGAACACGAATGTCATCT